TTAAAATTTTAAAGTTGTAATTTTGAATTTTATTTTTGTTAAATGAATGAATTCTGTAAATTTCAATCCAAAAAAATAACACCTATAGTAAAATAAAATTAATATGAAATACCATAACATATAAGCTTTTGAATGACCCATGTCCTCAGTACTTTACATGGAAATATTATAATAGGTTTATATTAAAAGAAAAGTTTTGAATCAGTGAAAGGTAACCATTTTTTAAATTTGTCATATATAAAAAAAAAAAAAGTAACCTCATATACATACTTAAACGTTCATAATATAATGGATTCTAATACATTTAACTGCTTAAAACGAATATAGTAAAATAAAAATTAAAAAGGAAAATATTTCAAATCGTAGTTAAATAAAAAGTATTGTAAAAAAATCTTTAATTTTAAAAGATGACGTTGAAAATTTTTACCGTTAACAATTTTTTTTTTTTTTTTTTTTTTGAATTCAGACGACATCCATTCAACTGACGTCAGGTTTCAGTGTAAATACAATTCAAAAGTTTATCAATGATACTGTCATAAGGAAAAAACCCCGTGTTCAATTTGAGTAGAATATTCTGTAAACCATGGAAACGTGATTTTAGCTGTGTGTATTTCAAAATTTTTTTTTTGCTTTTAATTTATTTGCAAAAAATAAAATTAGGGTTTATGCTTCTATTTTTTGAAACATAAGAATAGCGAAAATAACCATATTTTAAATCAATTAATTTTTTTAAGTAAATTTACATTGAGCACTATTTTGTAAAAATAAAATATCTATAAGAACACCGGATTTTATATCTTACTGTTCTTTCTTTTATTTATATATATATATATATATATATATATATATATATATATATATATAATGGACTCTCCCGTCGGTTTCGACGTATGAGGATCTGCCAGCTTATTGATTCAGTTATGAAAGTTTATGCGACAATCTTAAGTGGCATTTAAGACCGGCTAGTGATTTACAAAGGAGGCCACATATGGAACAGGTGTGAGAATTGTGAGATGAGATCACTGTTAGATTGGCTGACCTTTTAGATCCCGCTCTAGCTTCTTGAAGATGATTCAAACAAGCAGATTATATATATATATATATATATATATATATATATATATATATATATATATATATATATATAGGCAGCAGTCGTTCTTTCATGCACGCTTCATTAAATATGACAAATTAGGTGCTTTGATTAATTTTTTTTATATAATTTTTCATGTGATGTTATATATTTTTCTTTTCAGTAGATAAATTATGCAAAAATTATCCAAATGTTATGTTTTTCCAAGCGCATTCAGCTATACATTTATCAATTTTCGAGAATGAAAATATATTAACTGTTAACTGGAAATAGATTGTTGTATGTATTTAGTATTATAGAATGTTTTATTTCAACATATTGTGTCCATGTTCATAGTTGATATTATTGAATGTTGTTTTTTTTTGTTTTTATAAAATATATACATACAACAATCTATTTCCAATTAACAATTAATATATTTAAATCTTGAAAATGGCTAAATGTATAACCCTTAAGCGCTCTAAAAAATATGACATTTGGATACATTTTGTATAATAAGATCATATGAGAAATTACATAAAAAAGGTTAATCAAAGCACCTTGTCTGTCATATTTAATGAAGCTTGCATATATATATATATATATATATATATATATATATATATATATATATATATATATATATATATATATATATATGCAGGTATGTAGAAAAATAGTAAAGAACACGTTAGGTAAATAATCCAGGGTTCTTTAGTATTTTTTTTATTTTAAAAAACAGTGCTCCATACAGAAGTAGAGCATACAAGTAGAAAATACAAATATATTAACTGCATCCACCTGCAAAAAAAGACTAAAAGTAATGGAAGCTTTAATAATAAAAAAGAAAAAGCCAACTCTTAACAATATTAACTACGAACAAAGCCACAATGTGTTAACTGTATTCGAAAATTAAAAACATCCCTAACACACACTAAGACATACACATAACGCACACACTCTATTAAGCAGGAAAATCGAATCATCCTTGATAATGGCTAAAGGTATAGCCGAAAGCGCTCGGAAATATAAAACATTTGGACAGTTTTTAAATACTCTTTGTCCAGAAAAGAAAGCTCTTGTTCGAACACAAGAAAAATTAAATAAAAAGCTTAACCCTAGTACCTTGTCTGTCGTTTTTAATGAAACATGCATAAATGAAGGATTGCTGTCTAAATATGCAACTATATATATATATATATATATATATATATATATATATATATATATATATATATATTGGGGAAAATTTATGATAAAGTAGAAAAACGCGGCATGCTAGAAATTTTAGAATTTTTTCTCATATCTAGCCGATTTCATTTAGAGCAGAATAGAAGAATTTAGAAGAATAGATCTGCCAGGAGAGGTGTAATGCTGTCAGACCCTCTTTCCTCATTGTGAGCCCTAAAAATCTTAACGGTCTCTTCCTGATTTTAAGTATGTTTCCTTTTTATATCCATTTTCTCTAGAACTTCGTCGTTGCTCCAATATTTGATCCATAGTATACTCAGCATCCTTCTATATATGCCCATTTGTGTTGCTTCAAGTCTCTTCTTCATCTCTGAGGAGATTGTCCAGCATTCCCTGCCATACAGGACGACAGACATAACATAACAGTTCATTACTCTTTTCTTTGTTTCTAGCGAAGATTTTTCATATTCCTTGGGAATGCATCTTTGGCTACCCCAATGCCCTTTCGGAATACAGTGTCACACTTCCCGTGGGTGTTGAACAGGCATAAATGTGCCCGAGTGAGAGGACTTATCTAGCCACCCTGACAGACAGGTAAGCAAGCAGACAAACTTGTTCACCCCAGTGGCGTTTTTAACTCCATAATATCTGTTCCCAAGAAGAGAAAACAATTGTTTATAAGCAATATTTTAGTGAGAGAAATTTTACTAATTAACCCATACCTGGGAGGAGAATAGTTGGATTCATACCTAATCTGATTTTCATAAACAAACAAGAAATTACAATCTGGATATAAAGTGAGGGATTAATTCTAATTTATGATCAATATGTAAATTGATCGCTGTGATATATTTATATTCCAGATAATGTAAAGAAATGTAAAAGATGTCAGTGTAGCTAATCAGTATTTTATTGGTTCATTCATTTGTTTTTTATGGCTTGTAATCAACCTATCACAGATTATTTAAAGCCAGAAAATATTTTTAGACTATAGGAATTTTTTTTGAGATAATAATGTTTTCGTGATGCAAGTTTTAATATTTAACCCATAGCTGGGAAGAATAGTTGGATTCATACATAATCAGAATTTGATAAACTAAGAGATTATAATATGGATATAAAGTGGGAGATCAATTCTATATTACAATCAATATATTAACTGATCCCTCACTTTATGGCCACGGTAGTTTCTTCACAGCTATATTCCAGCGAATGTAAACCAATCTAAACGGCATGTCTGCGTAGCTAATCCGTATTTCATTGATTGATTCGTATTCTATGATTTATCAACCTGTTTTTAGGTTATTTAAACCAAGATTTAAAGAATTTTTTCAGCTTTTGAGAAAATAATGTTTTAGTGATACAAGTTGTACAAGAGTATTCCTCAAGCGAGCAGTGCGAGAGAAGAAACTGTTAGCATTGAATTTAAGGTTGCAACTAGCCATTTGTATTGCAAAATGATGAGATCTTGCCGTCAATCTTGTACTGTGCTTAAATTAAATTCATAAAGTCTGTGTGCCATAGCGAAGAACTCACCCAAACAATTAAAAGTATTTATAGAAAAGGCACGTTACGGCCGTGAGAAAATGACGTAAGCCGAGGTGCCAGGTCAGGACCAATAACATTGCAGATTCTTCTTTGGATTTTATCAAGAATCTCTAAGTACATAGCAGAACCAAACCAGATGTGGTAGTCCCCCAAAATCTCCGGTTCCGATTCAAGAAAATACTTTAAAAACTTTTCATTGTTAACAAACAGATAGATAGATAGATAGATAGATAGATAGATAGATAGATAATGGATAGGCTGTAATAGATAGATGTGATAGATAGATAGATAGATAGATAGATAGATAGATAGATAGATAGATAGATAATGGAGAGGCTGTGATAGATAGATAGATAGATAGATAGATAGATAGATAGATAGATATGAACAAACCATGACTCTCCACAACATTCTATTCCTCGGGACCCTTAGCAGCATTTCTCCCATTGCCAAGCTTCCCACCCCACGTTCCGCCAATCATTCACACAAGCTCGTTGGGTAGGTAGCTCACTGCCTTCCCCCATCTCTGTTGCTTTCAATATGCCCCGTGAGGTTTATGTTTGCCAAGCCTTCCTTCCTCATTATGTGTCCAAGATATTCCAGCTGTCTCTTTCTGATTCTGAGTATAGATGTTCTTTTTGTTACCATTTTCTTTAAAACTTTCTCGTTACCTACTCTCTCTGTCCATGGAATTCTCAGTATCCTTCTGTAGAACTACATTTCTACTCTCACCAGTTTTCCGATCCATGGGAAGATTGTCCAGCATTCACAACCATATCAGAGGACGGATATTACTTAGCAACTCAGCACTTTTTGCCTGTTTATTAGAATTTTGTTCAGCTTTTGAAATGCATTTTCCCTAATCCGATACGAGTTCGGATTTTGCTGTGGCATTTTCCATCCTATAAAAGCCGATATTGAAAGCTAAATATTTTTACTTCAGCTTTTCAATTATACAGTCATCCGTGCTCGCTATATCGCCTTATTCCTTTAATTTTCAAATCTTTCTTTCTTTCTTTCTTTCTTTCTTTCTTTCTTTCTTTTTCTCCTGTATTACTTTTTTACTTTTTTTATCAGTTAAATTTCAAAAGGAAATCGGATAGATAAAGCTGCACACATACAATTGCATAAGCAACACATGTTCGTACACAAAAAGCCATACACTTATACGCAAAAAGTCCATGCAGAA